TGGACGTCGCCTTGCGCAATAACAACAATTCTTCCAGCACCATGGGTATGGAAGCAGACCGGGCGTTTCCTACAGACCGGGCCTTTCTGCGGGACTTTCGGCTCATCGGCCCACTGACTGTGGGATTAGGGGTTTTCGCAGTGCTGTGTGGGGTGACGGCTTTACTGGAGGACCGAGACAGGAGAACGAAAAGAATATTCGTCCGAGAGCCTTCAGACGACGTACGGCAAGACGTCGACGGCGATCTGGGGCAAATCTCAGTACTTTGCAAAGAGTACCACCCGGGTTATGCATCTGTATCGAGACTCTCCAAATACAGACTCCCACGCTTTACAGTGGGCTCGTGTCCGAACCTGCGGTACCAGCCCGACTCGCCCGCTCGCCTGAACCCGCTGCGGGGGTACATGAAGTCCATGCCCTCCCCCGTGCCGCTACGAGACTTGTACAGGTTTCAGCCTCTCCGGTGTGTAGGTGAGACACATGATCTGACTTGAACGGACTGTCTTGGCTTTAGGAACACAATGGAAATGTCAAGAGAGAGGTTTGGAGCACTACTCTAAGATGTTATTTTTTACTTTTTGCTGTTTCAAGCTTAAGCTTATGGAATACATGTTGTTTACGTGCCATTGGAGATCAGATATGCGGGGGAACAGTTGTTTCCAAACGACTCCAAATTGCAATTTGTGCTAATTCTCATTGGAAACGCATAACATTGAAGTACCAATTATTTTTATTTACGCCCCGTCCTACGCTAAAAGTCTTCTCTGGATCCCATTACTGTGCACACATGTTCCATGAGCTACGCGACAGCGTTCATACCTTTTATGGTCTATGGAAGATTGTTTAGACTGTGTACATACGTATGTATTTTGATATTGTAATTATATCCGTCGGTGAATTTGCCTAGGCTATGAAGCAAAGATGTTGTTTTGAAACATAAACATCTAGGTCAGGGTTTGAGATACTTAAGTTTCCACACCAGTGTGACTGACAATAATCCTAGTCACCATATGTGCAACTGATGTAAACGTGTTAGGCATATACCCGGTTTATTTGGAAGCAGCGGAATATCTTATCTTTTGTCGTCTTGCTATCTATTTGCTCGGAAGAATTTTGTAAATAAAATAATCCAAGAAACTTGTTTCAAGATTGGTACGGCCTAATTCTCACCATCGTTTATGTCGCACGTACTAACATTTAGTCGTAAAACACAGGGAATGACGTGCGTCTGTACATAAAACTGAATTGCAATGTTCTCTTAATGTTTTCATGTACATGCACAAGCTTTATTTATCACATGCAGGTAATGTGATACATAATGCTTTTCGTATTTTCTGTGGAGGGGTGTACACCGTGGGATTATTTTGTTATTAATCACTAATATGTGATGGTTACAATAGGAATGGCAAAAATATAGTTTAGATTTGGTAGTTCAGTGTCTGTTTGTTTTCTTTGTCTCTATTTCACGTTTTATGACAAGTAGTATGCATTACGAGGAAAACGCACCGTATCCAAATGCTTTTCACACCCGTCATCTCGGTTGACGCGGTAAATTTGTACTAGATTATGCATCATATACAGAAGTTCACCCCATGTTCCGGCTGCACTAGCACACAAACCACGCGTTCCTACTAACTGTGATCTCTGTAATCAAGTTAAGGTAATGGAAGCATTAGAGCCTGCGTAATGATCTTTAAAAGGTGAAATTGTTTTAAAGGTAAAATTGGTAATAGTATTCTCATATTAATCCTTAGAACATATTCGATTTGAATTTGTACTGATTTGCATTGGAAACGCATTACTTTCAAGTACCAATCATTTTTATTTATGCCCCGTCCTACGCTAAAAGTCTTGAAGTTCCCGATTACTGTGCACATCATGTATGAACCACTGAGAGGCAATGATCTTTTCTGAGGGGAGGCACTTTACTTCACTACATCCTGTTCAGGGCTAACCGAAGTAGTCATTCATTACTACGTATATACCACGCCGAGAAAGTCGATTCGGTCGTTTAGAAAATTGCAATTCCGCCCCCGGTAGCGTTACACATCACTTGTATCGAGCCATTAATTCTATTTATGTTAAATGTATATATCGTGCGTTTGTTTTGCATGTACCGTGCGAAAACCCCGACAGTGTTCACACTCAGCATTACAACGTCTGAGACAAGAGACAAAATGTCAGCAGCGCCTGCCAGGAAAAGACTGATTTAAAGCCATCGGTGTCAAGTCTGCAAAGCTGTTATATACATCTAATGCACAACTACGTATACATACAATCTAAGTATTGGTTCTGTGACGGCCTTAGAGCTAGATGTACCCAACTACCCGGCCGCTATTGCAATGCTGTACGTACAGCCCTTAACTATCCCAAATGTGGTATTAGAGTGAGGGGTCATCAGTGTCAGCATATGCATGAATGTTGGTCAGCACTTACAACTACAACTGCATTTGGTGCGGAGCGTATTTGGCGCACGGTACACATTTGGTGCCCTCATTCAGATATACTGATCAACAACGATTGAATAGCACGTACTGATTATACTGTATGAGAAACTGATCCGACGCTAAGTTGAATGCCCTTACAGATATGAAACATACAGTTCAGTGATAGGGTTGACAATCTAGACTGCAATTCACGCAAACATGAGGACGAGCGATGAACAATCATAGAAAGATAAATAAAATGGACTCCGGGAATGTTAACACCGTTGATGATGACACATGTGCACAAGTCAATCAGAGATAGCAATCTCCACTCCCTTGAAGGCAAGCGTCCTCTGTTATAACACACAAAAACTGCAGTATGGAAGAACTGCAGTACAAAGACACGCGCGCGCGCACACACACACACACACACACACACACACACACACACACACACACACACACACACACACACACACACACACACACACACACACACACACACACACACACACACACACACACACACACACACACACACACACACACACACACACACACACACGTTCACATGGGCAGACAGTCGGGCGGACGAACACACCGTGTGGCATAAAAGCGAGACATACCCAACTTGAACAAGCTATACTAGTCATCAGTTGAACTTTTATCTAGGTTTTTCAAAGAAATTGACAACCTAGGCAGTTTATAACATGATGATAGATGTTATTATATTATCTATACGATAATGTGATATGCTGCAAAGAAGGCGAGGAGGAGATCCCATCCATCCGTGGACTCGGAAACCGAGCAGTCGTGTGCATTTTCTGGTTTCTTGTTTGTGTTGGTATGGCAATAAAGTAGACACTTTGACATCTTCAGATTCACATTCCCCTTATGAAACTTTAGATTCAAACCGAAAGAGGGCGTTATTTCCCAGTCTAGACTTTCGGAGATTGTTTCGGATATAACGTCAATGTGTTATAGAACAACATGATAACAATGTAGTACAAGCCCATGTGTCATTTAGGCTAGTGGCGAACTAAGGAACTGGGGGGTTAGTTTCTTTTCAAAAGAAAATCAAAGCAATACGTAGCATGCGACAAACACACAGGAGTATGCATTTGGCGTTTTACGCTAAATTCGGGAGGATCGTCTACAACAGTGTGTGCAGGATACCTTTCACCGTTTTTTTTATTGATATCCAGAGACCCTCCCGCCAAGTCAATAAGTTGAATTACCCATTTTCCATTAGCCTCCCCTCGTCCCTCTATTCAGGCGGCCGCGTTTAGAAGCGTCCTTGACCCAGCAGATGTACCGTAGCGTGAACATCTGCTTCTTCTGAGTGGGTCGGACGGTCTCCATGATGTCACTAATTTGAATACTTGCCAACGTTTTATAAATGACGACGGACTAGATCAGTTATTCATTCCAGTTTGTGTTGTACACCTGATCGTAACTACATTCTCCCAGTAACTCAGAAGCTATATCATTTCCTGAAAAATCTCAAAAAGCAAACATTAGTGAACTACTCGAGTTGATTTCCAATTCCTAGAATAGTAGATGAAATCAGTAGTAGGGTGAAGAGTGATTTAACCAGTAGCTTTAAGGTGATGATTTTATGAAGGACCTGAGAGTTGACAGAACGTAACATACGTTTGACACCCACCGGCCCGGCCACGCCCCCATACTTATGCCGTCCGTACGTCATGTGGAGAGGGAGAACCATTGGGCGCCCCACACTACACACGTACACCACGGCAGCCGGGCCATCGCGATGCCATCGGTATAAATAAACCGGGAAACCTCCGCGCTACCCACTCACATCCTCCGCCAGCTTCTTACTACCTGGTCACCGCTACAGGTAAGCCTCGACATGTGCACTCAAACTATGAGGAAGAAAGGGGGAGGGATAATCTTTGGTACATTTGTACATGACCGACTTCTATGATCTTCTATCGCTGTGTGATTTTGAGCCATGCCGGTAACATGGCGATCACTTCCGCGTTCACTGTCAGCACAAAACCGCTTGCTTATGGCTCGAAGTAGAGCCAAGTTTTGCAGCTTTGTACCCTGTACACGTCTGAAACGTCTAGACTTCTTAAAATCCGTGATCCATCAACAGATAATGAATTATTCAATGCCTTTGGAGTGGGGGAGAGGGGAGGGGGTCCTGGAGCCGGTAGTTTCAACGTTAATGGCTTTGACCTTCCTAAAACCAGCCATGGCTGTGTGGAGGTTACATATACCGGCACGGGCTATATATAGATCTGGAATCATATCAGCTAAAATAACATGGTGGCTGGCTTTGAACTGAACATCCATTTTGAAATGTTGCAACTTCCAACTGTGTGAATGGTTATAAAGTCTCAGGTTAATGTAGCGTTACTATAATAATAGAGGTTACTGATATCATTAACAGCAGTGAGGCTGACTAAATGTTATTACAGGATATTGGAGCATGTCCTCGTCATTTTGCCACCTTCAGAAACCGCCATAGACATTTTCATATCACTCATACCACTGGTAAAAAAGCTGTTAAAGTTAATACATAACCAATTTTTGTCGAGGCCTGATTTGAAATCCAATACCTAATCCAGCCTGACATTGGGATGGTTGAAGCTGCATCTGTTGTAACCACAGTGACAAATGCCAGATCATCATCTATTACACGATCACGCGAACAGACTCCCATCCCAAGCATTTGACCTTGACCAAGGTTATCATCCGACAAGTAGATGAGGATGATAGCTAAATGTACAACATTGTGATGAAGTAAAAATATGGAGAAAAAAAACATTTTTTCAAGATTATTTAAATGAAATATTTTCACCATATGGTCCTGGCCTGCTTGAAAGGTTACATCAGTACCTGCTTGATATGCCTCATCTGTCAAGTAGCCGCCATTTTCTGACATACAATTTGCAACATCCGTTAGTGTCATAGCGGCCTTTCATCATCACTATCCAAACACACACTCCTGCAATGTTTAACCAGTGTCTGGATTACTTCCGAAATCACCTGGCGGCGGCATATCAGGTCACAGGCACTGAATTTGCTTTAATACACATTTCTGGCACAGGTAACTCTGTAACTTTTTTTTTGGTATTTTCAGGCTTATCTTTTTTCAAAAATCAGTCAGAGGTAACTGGTTGTTCGACTTTGTCAGCAAAGTTCTGAGGTGTTTCATTACAAGAATCACAGAAACTTTATACTGTACAATACAAAACATGTCCGTTGCAAAGTGACAGTTATTTAAAACCACTGAACTTTAAAACCAAATCCTTTCACTTATAAGTTACTGTATAAAGTGTATAATGCTCTAAAATGTAAGAATAGACCAATCCCAAAGCCCCTTTCACTTCATGGAAAGGTAGAAAATTAATGCAAATATGCAGACATACAGCCACTCTCTCATTCATTGGTCAAACTGCTAATTGCCATTCTCTCATTGGTTGATCTGCTAATTGTAATGGACAGTCAGGTCTATTATTTTGGGTTGGTGCTTTCATCACTTCACTTCACTTCAGGATATTTCCCCTGATCCCTTTTGTAAGTAATAAGTAACAAGACACCAGAGGGCACAATCTGAAACGGTCATTGACCTACATTTAACTACATTCTGGGACAAGAATAACTTGGACTTGGCACTAACACTTCCTACCTATTAATATAGAAGCACATGCAGCATTTTGCCCTACATCACGTTTGGAGTCTTTCTAAGAATCTAAATGGTTCAGCACTTTTAAAATTTGCTTTGTCACTGTAAGAACATTGTTTGAAACTAAAGTGTAAATGTGTGACTCATGACTATGTAAATCAAAACTACACACCTGATTACAGAGCATACAAAGGACACTCCCAGGTCATACCCTTTTATTCTGACTTGTCTGACTGTACTTAAAGAATGATAAATTATTAACACCACAAAAGGTAAATGACCAACATCACCATTCTTAATCTACTGTACCCTCCAGGCTTGTGATACAGACCACAGACATCAACCACAGCTATGGCAGACAAACCGCTGGTGGTGGCATCCCTGGCCGACCATGAGCTGTATGTGACTATTGTGGAGGAGCACTTCCGTGTGGTGTGGTGGGAAGACTACATCAAGGCCCCTGAGAAGTACAACAATGACATTCAGGGAATCCTGGTGGACGCCTATGGCAGAGTGAGTCTGGTTTCACCTCCCCCATACTGCATAACTCTGTAACTAATACAAATACACCGCAAAAAGGATACTCAGAAGAGAGACTGTCAACTTAATGTATATACACGTAGTATGTAGTTTGGGCAACTGTCAAGCAAGGTTTTGTCTTAGTGTCAAAGCAAGGAAATAGAATTTCTAACAATTTGTAATGCTAGAGATGTAAACAGCCCTATGTTCTGACACTCATATGGTCTTATGACTGATGCCCCTATGTTTCAAGACCCCTACATTCTGACATAGGGTTAAGTTTGCCTGTATGCCTTTATGTGATGTATGGATGGAATACGACATTGGTCCCAGCTTGATCAATTAGTTAGGGCTGTCACACTGTTAACTTCAATCTGCCAGCTACTTGTAGGTAGTACTAGTTTGTATTAAAACTGTGGCCAACACTAATAATAGCACACCTGTGTAACATCTGATTCTCCCAGCTGAAGCGTGTGGACGGCTCACTCCTGGACCACCTGCCTAACCTGAAGATCGTCAGCACCCTGAGTGTGGGAACAGACCATCTGGACCTGGAGGTAAGTATAGGGGGAAGAAACACCTGCCGTCAGGGCATTCAGCAACTGTTTATGATAGGCAAAATCAGAGCTTGTTTTCAATCTACCTATAATTGCAAACTTGTAGAATTATTTGAGGAATGCCCACTTTTTTTAGATGAATGTTTGTTTCAAAATCAAATAAAAAAAGCAAGGTTTGCTTTATTTTCAAGAGGAATGTCCAGATTAGCTTTGTAAGGATGATAGTTGTGCTAATATTTGTTTAAAAAGTAACAAACTTGTATTTTGTACCACATACTGAATTTCTAGTGTTTGATTTGGTTGATACTAAGCTGCTGTTCAAGAGAGGGATCAAGGTTTCCCGTGTGCCTGATGTGAGCAGTGACTGTGTGGCAGATTGGGGCATGACCTTACTGACGGGGATGGCCAGACGTATCGTAGAAGGTATGTATGGAGTCACTGGAGCAATGTCCATGTTTTCAAGTACATGTACACCTTGACTTTATAATGACTCATGTACATGCCTACATTGTACAGCACGTCGGCAGAACGTACTGCACCTGCGCGAAACCCGTAATGTATTGTACATAGCACTTCAGCAAAATGTCTCATATAAGGTTGTATTCGCTCATATAAGGTTAGCATTTCGACAGTAGTTTCCAAATGTTGTGTCAGAAAAGATATCCTCTGCAACAGTGAAAATTCTGAAGCAACGTTGACCAAAAATCCAACTAAAACTGTGAAAATCCAGGGTTCTGTGCAGGCGCAGTACGTTCTGCCGACGTGCTACATTGTACAGTGTTTAATGAGAGTAAGGTACCATAAATGTTAATTTGACAGAAAAATTGATTACATCTAATATAGTCATTGGTAGAAGTCATTTCAGATGGACTACAGAATCAGACCAAATTTTTGCCTGCCAAGCTCCTTTCTTGTCAAGAAATGAATATTATTAACATAATAAATAATACAATAAAAGTTAACATGATGCCTATGTGAATGTGTACTAGAGATAAAGTAAAAGCTAGAAAAATGTTACTCTGCTTTGCTGTTTCCTGTGTAGATCTAGAGAAATATCCTTTTCTTCTGAGTCCAGAGTGAGTGATACATGTAGCACTGAACAAGACTATGCATGAGATAATGTATTCCTTACTAATGTTTTCTTCTAGGTGTTGACTCAGCCAAGAACCCTGCTACTCCTTTTGACTTTAACATCATGGGGAAGAAGATCACTGGTGCCACCATTGGCGTTGTTGGCTTTGGGAGAATCGGTATGTAATAATGTCTAATATCTCTTAGCACATGGCTGGACAGTGGACACATTGCTCTATGAGTGCGATGCAAGAAAAAACAAAGAACAAAAATGTATGTCCAGTGCCTAACACAGCAAGGGCAAATAAGTAATAAGATAGATCAAACAAATGATTGTTATTGTTGAATACTACAGCTAGTTATCCTGCTACATGACTTTTTTCAAACAATGAACCTGAAGTTTCTGACAGTTTAAACCTGCTGTCCTTCCTAGGCTACAAGATTGCTGAGCGAGCCTATGGATTCAGCATGAAGATCCTGTACTATGATGTTTTCCGGCGGTGAGCTCTGTGTACAGTTAACCCATAAACATTCATTAAATTATCAATTTTCAGTTTCTGTCAAGTCCGTGTCAGAAAAAGTTACATAAAACTTTGATGTTAAAGAACAATAGGCAAGAATGTTGAAAAAAGTATCAATTACAGTCAAAGGGTGTTTCTGCTACAAACAATAGAACAAAAAAATTGATGTATGTATGTATGTATGTAAGGCACCCTGTCCTTGGTGCTGAAATGTTCTCACGTGATGTACCCAAAGTATTTGACATCCTTGAAAGCGTATTTATGCTTACAATGGTTGCCTTTATTATAGTCTGTCTACATTTCATGTTTGCCATCATGTGTCAGAGTTTGTTCAGCTAGTTTGAGAAATGCCTATAAGTATGCTTATCATTTCAGGTCAGAGGAAGAGGAGAAGAAGATTGGTGCTACGTACTACAGTAATGTGGACGAGATGCTGCCCCACTGTGACTTTGTGATACTGATTGTACCACTGCTACCCACCACTCAGAAGATGATTGGCAAGAAACAGTTTGAATTGATGAAGAACTCCGCCATCTTGGTCAATGTTGCAAGAGGTTAGTAACCGTTAGTTATACTATGGGTAGCTCTTCTTAAATTGGATTTAACGTTAAGTTCAGAGTAAACAGATGAAAATATTGTCATCTCATGGAGTAAATATTTTGTCCTGTTTGATTTATGATTCCATTCCAGCCCAAGTCGTAGACCAGGATGCTCTTGTGGAGGCACTGAAGAACAAGACCATCCGCTCGGCAGCCATCGACGTGACTTATCCGGAGCCCCTGCCTGACGACCACCCCCTCCGCTTCCTGGACAACATCATCATCACGCCTCACATGGGCGCGAACAGCGAGGAATCCCGCCGGGGCGTGGTGGTGGCCGGGGTGAAGAGCTGCATTGCTGGGGTCAAGGGTGAACCCATTCCTAACGAGGTGCAGCAGCCAAAGCCAGGAAAGCTGCACTGAACACCGTGCAGTCCTCCTGGTCACTGGTACTAACCAAGGGAGCTTCTGCTTCTGCACATTACCATTACCTCTAACCCAGCAGTCCTTTAATACCAGTACATGCTCACCCTACAGTTCACTCTGTAGTCTTGTAGTAAAACTCAAGATTCCTATACTGTATTTTAGAAAACTTTATGAAGATAGTTTATAAAAAAAGTTTGTGAATTTCAATCTGAAAAGAGCAATAAAGTTTGGAGGGAATGAGCAGGTATCATAATTATATGTACTTTGGAGCTTTGGGCTTTGCAGGAGACAGATTTTGATATTGGCTTACTGGAGAGTAAAGGAAAGCAGCTACAAGCTATAGTTATATGAATCTTCTATCTATGTTGTATATTTAGTACATATATTGCCTTTCAGCTTGTCTATATGTGCTGTGTTAAGGTTCAACTTTAAAGCTGTAAATGTCTCATATGCACTTAACGCTGGTCCGTAAAGTTCAGGGTATGTCAGGAGCAGAGTCTATTGCCACGTCTGTCATGATTGAGGCCCTTTCCATGGCTTTTGGTGTTGCCTGGCACAGAAGCTACCAACGCTGCCATGCTGCCAACTGAAGGCAGTATCATCAGGTGAAACTATTCCAGGGGCTGAACACTGCTTCAAGTGTGCAAGCATAACATTCTCATTTTCAGTATTCATCTGTACTGCATTTACTTTCACTGTGGTTTTATTTCAGAATATGAGAGTTTTTGCAGTGTTTTAAGTTCACAGTTGAAACAATAATTCTATTACAAAACATGGCGTCATGATTTTGCGTTAAGACTACGAAAAACTACCATGACCATTTCACGATTTACACTGTATTACATGTATCTATGTGTATTAACCGTTACATGTATCTATTTGTATAGCATGTATCTGTCTGTATTACATGTTCATGTATCTGTGTGTGTTTTCTGTGTAACAGATGACCGAGTCTTGAAGAGTCACTTGCATAAACCATGATGTACTGATCCAGCATCCTACACTTGTCATAACATCATCATTAACCTTCTCCTACTACAGGTGCATCCACCTAAGTTTTGTTTTCATCCAAAGTTCGCAGAGGGACAGTTTGATAATGGTAGTTGATTGCTTGGCCTCCATTGGGTCAAATTGAGGTGCATTGTGTGACCCAGCATGTCACATTTATTTATTCTTTCCAGTTTTATAAACTTTTGGAACGGTGCACAGTAACTGTGAGGGTCGATTTTGGAATTCATTAACAAGTTATGTTAGCCTGTGGTGGTGCAATGTTTGTTATGCATGTCTGTTACCAACCATAACATCTACTACAGAAAAGGACAGGCAGCTGAGATTATATCAGTAAGAAATGTTAACCCCACGTAAGAGTTATATTTGATCATTAAAGTAAGACATTGTTGCAAATGGAAATCAAGGCCTTCCAAAGATATGGCATTCAGTGGAGATAACAGAAATATCATTGACCAAACACAAATGTCCACACTTTTTTTATAGGGGTGGGGCGGTATGGGGGTTTCAGGAATGGTGCTATAACACTGTATATTACCGTATTCATTACTCTGTGAAAGAACAGTCTGACATGGTTCTGAGGAAAGACATTTGCTGCTCGTGTTGTTATGAGTCCTGCTTTGTGAATATTGTCACCTGGGTACACAGGCATATTTTTAGATGTTGCTAGTAAAGCGAAGCTCACCTTGGAGGATTCCTGTTGTTGATTGTTAGCGCATGAAGGATACTGTTGCAGCCAAACAAGACCTCCTGAAAGCCTGTGTACCCAGACTAAGAAGTGCTGCTAAGAGATAATGTAGTATATGGATATTCTATTAAGAGATATTTCTGTAGATGTCAACAAGATGTGCTTAAGATATACATCTAGAACGTGGATCATTGAGAATGTATGGATCACCCACAGACCAATAAAGTCGTATATTACCACAAACCAGCTTCAGACATTTTGTTGCCTTGTGTATGGAGGTTTTGTTTTCGGCGTTTGCATGTTTGCTTGTGTTTTCATAGTTATATCAACATGCTAGGCATGTCAGGGACACTAATGGGAAGTTAGGTGAAATGTCCCAGAAAAGGTGCTGCTTCAATTTCCTATGTAACATACACTAAAACTATCTCTGCAAAGATATTATAAACACACACAATATAAGGTTCATTTTCATTTAATTCCAAATATTCCATTATATATATCAGAGTAGTATATACCAATAATATCAACAACATGTTGGTAGCATCAATTATGTTGACACCATACATGTATGTAGCTTGCTTTGGCTACATATTCCTATTCCTTTGTAAGGAACAGGTGCTTCTATTAAATTTGCTATTGGTGCACATATCATATAATGTTGTAAGATACTAGCTGTCACTTGCATTTCAACCAATGGGTGCATTGTTTTTAATTGATTGGCTAGAAGTAACCTTAATACTCTCAAACACAGATTGAAAATGAAAACATATACATAGCATTAAAAGTGAACGAGAGGAATTACATCTCTTAACTCTTTCAACTTTACAGTGAATCTCTGTACACGTGGCCATTTTACATCTTTTGGCAACTCTTAAGTAGTGTTACATGTTGGAGTTGGAACACTGGCAGCACACTATAGCTCTAAAACAATAGGATAGACCAGCTAAAGCCACCAACTAATATGGGAAAAGCAATTTGCATGAGGTAGCTGACAGAAAAACAATCCAAAACAATGGTTTAAGATGTAGAAAAAAATAGAGAAAACTTGTAAAGGTAAGTCCTAGAGGAATAATAAAGGTTTCATATGTCTTGGAACACGTGCAACCATGTTCAACCCCTGTACATGACATTGCATAGTAAGACAGTAGATGATGAAGTGATATGGCTCTTACAGTTTTTGTTCATTATGAGCAAAGCTTCATACAAAAAGGTATCCTTGCTTCCTGCTTATACTGTGGCTTGACTTTTCATACTTTTTAAATCTTGTAAAATTCTTTAACTTCAGATAATTATGACACTTCATAGTCTGATTACACGTTCTTGGGAATTTTTTCCATTTGGTAGACACACCCTTTAATGTCAACCAAATAAGTGGGTTGTGACACCCCTCAGCAAGGGTGAAAACATTCTGTATACTGCTTTAAAAAATGTAGATAATAGGCACAATATTTAATGACTAGCTAAGTGTGCCATATGGCACTCTAAAGAAAATAAAACTAGCTATCCTGCACTCCGTGAGAAATATGACACAGCTATACACAAAGACTTGAGAATATAGATTATACACGGCCCTTTTAAGAGGTTGCAATAAAGTGGGAAATCATCCCTATGAGCAATGAGGATATGGGTACTTACTATTTGTCCTAGCTGATCCAGACATGACAAATTATTGCAAATACACATAGACCTCACCAACATAACCCATTTTGTACAATTAAGAGGCACCAACCCAAAACAACTTTCTTTTCCTCAACTATCTTTTTATACATGCATCTGGAGTTACCACAGTCCTTACAACCTTAAGAAAAGACAAATTTGCTTTCAAACACACATGCACCCGTATACATGAATAACTTCATTCCTACTGTATTTCTACAAAACATTGCCAGACCTGCTTATCAAACATATTGCTGATCTTGAGTGCGTGGCTTGTTTTTGTTTTCAGATCACACTGCAATTCACTTACATCTGCAATGAGTTAGTGTACTTAGTTCTATGGTAGTTTGTATTGTCATGATATGTCTGCCCCTCCACCACATATCATACTAAGTTTATCTCATCTCTAAAGTCTTCTGTGTATGCATATCTCTGTACAATCCAACCTGATATGTCCTGTTCATCTCAGAATTCAAAGTCATACGAGTACGTCTCTCCAGGACTCGGAGTTGCGCTGTTTGGGCTGTCTGTCAGCAGCATAGCTGGCCTCCCCCGCCGGCTCCATTGCATCATAGTAATCCTCGGGATTGTCGTACACGGTGTCCTCACCATCCCCATCACTGTACTCACCATGGCAACCCAGCTGGTCCTCCAGGTCATCTGTCTCCTCCTCTTCTTCTTGGCTGAAATGATAAGATGTTTGATAAGATGGTTAGTTTCTTCTTCAGGAATCTATGTTGAAGATGTCAAGTCCTGAAATGTTGTCCAGCAATGAAGTTTATTCATTCACTTCTGACTCACAAGCAGGGAAGGTTCCATCATATGCTAAATACCGGGTGTGTATCATTACTGTCAGGTATTTAGAAAAAGAACTGTTTCAAGTATCTACAAGTTGAATTTCATCAAACTATAATGAGCTACAACAATTTGTAGAGAAGAAAATCTTTGATTTCCAATAACATCATACCTCGGTGTGCTGGAATCAAACCTGCCCTCCCCCGCTGCCTGCGATGATTTGTCCCGCCGGCTGTTCTTGTAGGCATATCCATAGATGGACAGGTCCATTGTGTCTGTTGGGAGGGGTGCAGGACGGTAGACGTCAGGCTGCTGCAGTTTCAGCAGGGCCTCGCAGAATCTCCTCCCCATCTCCTCTAAATGCTCCGTGCTGATCTGAAGACCCTGAACATGAAGAGGATAGCAGGTAAGGACAAGTTGGAGCAACACTGCTGATTCTCTGACTTTAATTTCTCTCACATTACACTACAGTAGAGCCAAGACATCTGGTATTTTACCTTTAATACTAATGAGAAAGTACTGGTACTGCCTGAGTCTATCTAACCTTGTATCTGCCCTGGTCACAGCCGCAGTAGGTGCTCTCCATGGTGTAGCTCCTGTTCACGCCCATCCTCCACACCACCACCCTCCCCGTGCCCTCCTTCGACTTCTCCACGGCAAAGTTACAGTTCTGCCAGCAGAACTGCTGGGCACAGTCATCCAGGATCCTGGGCAGGGCCTGGGGGGAGAGGACATAACTCTGGTCACATACAGGGCCAGAAATCCTACCATTATCAACAGGGACACTGGTTTATTCAACAAGACTTGTGCTGGTTAAGTGCTGACAGACATTTTATGGCGCTGATTGCCAGTTAAATGTACATTGGCTTGTTTCTATTAGTAAATTTCTTTTCCTTAACCTATTCCCTCCTGTCTAACCCTGTATACAATACAGAATTAGTAGCCAAATGGCCACCTCAGTGTGCTAAAAGTCAATAGGCAGTAGCCTTTCCACATCATGCAGACCCTAAACAATGCTCCCAGTTGCCAACAAGACTTCCAAATTTATACAAGATACTGACAACCGTCATTTTGCTCTGGTCTTTGCTTCCATTACTCTTCAATTCATAACCATGTTTAGATCCCAGAACGACAGAACGTACAGTCATGGCATTGTCTTCCTCCTCTATCAGTCCTGGGTTCTGGTTCTCCTTCCCTTCACTCTCATCCTGCCCCTGACTGCACCCGTACATGAACACATTCTTCTTCCTGGAGTGGCCGTGGTAGTCACAATACACCTGGTGGGGACAGAATAGTGTTAGAAATACAGTAAAGAATAGTACAGAAATACAGTGAAGAAACCTCATGCAGCAAAGGCATGTTTCTGATTACCTCCATGTATGGAAGCTCTATTTTTGGTGTGTCTATTTGTGTGTTTCCTAGTTCTTTCCACATGCTAGAAATGATCTGCAAACTTAGGTGAAAGGTATGTCAAAGGTTCCAAAAAGGTTATCTCATTTGTTGTCTTTACTTTCATGCAGTATGCATGTCTGTTATCCTATGGGAGATTTATCTTAAGAAAATGCATAGACAGGATTGACAGGCAAGGAATTTACAACAAGGAATGAAACAAGAAATTTGGTACGAGATTTTTGACTTCTTGTTATCAGATGACCAAGTGGCCCATGACTTACCAGGGGCAGCTTGCCGATAAGCTTGAGATACTGTAGAAGTCCCTTAGTGTGGTAAATGGTGGGGTGGACGTCAGGGGAGGGGTACAGGTAGCAGCGGTTCAGGTCATCTCCACTCAGGGACACACGGTGGCTATGGGGACATGGCAAAAAGACACTTTAGTAAACTTTATGATTGATTAGCTATGACATATTCTTTACCATCTCCCTGCTACCTAACTCTGGAACTAACACAAAGTTGGTGCCAAACAGCGACCTTAGCCTGGCTAAAGGGAATGTTTGAACAAAAGACATGCTGCAAGAATCACAAGTCACCTTCATCTATGATTTTCTCCAGTAAGAAATGTAATAAACATCTTACATTGTATAGAATGAGACACAAGCACTTTTTTGTGGATATATTTTTACACAACACTGTTTGCAATTGTGAGTTTTTAGGTCAGATTGTGTAGGTTATGACGTACCTTCCATTGATGACACCATCAGGGTTCAGCATCGGGATGATCTTGAAGATGTAGGTCTCTCTCAGCTGCCGAGCTAGGATATCATCACTTAACAAGAAATCCAGGGTCCCTGATAAACACACAAACAGTAACATTAGACATCAGGATGTTCTACATACAGGCCAAGTTGAGATGATAGCCAATGAAAGCTGTTTTCTATATACATATATGTCAGGACAATGCACACAAAAAATTGACCCTGCTTCATGATGATGAAACAACAACACACCATTCATGACCCAGCTGGAGTTGCTTTCTCCAGGATGGACTCTGGCACTCAGGAAGATGTACTGTCGATTATCTGAAGGAAAAAAAAACACAGAAAACCTGTTAGCAACCTGTTACACCCTAACTACAAATGTATTCAGAGTTACAAATCGTATGCTAAGTTACAAATCGTATGCTCAGGCTCTAAAATGCAGGACCAACCAATGCCACAGAAACTATGGCCAAACCATAATATTTGTGACTCACTGAATTCTACCAGAGACTCCTTGTTGCCTATGTCAGGCCTGGCTGTGATAGTGAGTACAGGACAGGGGTTCCCTCCCAGACTGTCACACAGGGTCTGTTGTCGGTAGTAGATCCTACTGTAATCCACACAGGACTCCAGCCTCTGCAGATTAGTCTGGAATAAGGATGAACAAAACCAGAAATGAGTGTTGTTCCTTTTTTAGTCAGAAGATGGCAGCCTTGCCTACATAAAATTCACACAACAATTTTCTGACACAAATCAGTCTTAAGACACACCTCATTCCCTTAAAAAACTTTCCTCCATGATTGTGCTGTTTCTTCCAACAGAAAAATATTGAAGTGTTAAATTAAACTTAAAAGCATATGAAAA